TCGAGATCAGTCGAGCGATGTCCCGCGCGTACTTCACGTTGCTCCTCGTGACGCGATTAGTTTCTAGAAGGCTCTCGACCGTGCGCGACGCAACGCGATCGTCTCCCAACGAAAGTTATTAACGTTTGTCAATTCGCGCCAAGTTAGTGTCGCGGATCCGTAGTCTTATCGTTCGATGATTTGTCGAGACGAATATCACGCGTGATTGAAATGGAAGCGCCGTAAGGGAGATCCGAGAATTGCAGCGCTCGCCGGCCTAAGATAATTTCTTCATCGCGGACAATTGCGGACGATAATCGTTTACGTGTGCAACAGTAATTCGGACACAGTGAAACGTGAAGACAGTGGCATTTCGATAAGCGACGATCGGTTTTAGAAACGCGAGTGTGAAGTGGCGAGTGCGCCGAAGGACAGTTGAGAGGATCGCTAAGAGGAGGACACCCCTACGGAAGGCATCGGCCGCCATTGCAGAACAAGGCAGATTCAACTCCATTACTGCGCATCGTGTCGGTGAGCGAGTAGTTTTTTTATGAGGGTAACGGAATCTACATTTCGTAGATCCGTTACCTTAAAAATGGATTGGTTACAATTACGCCTTTCACTTAATTTATTTTATCTATCGAAGAGAGGATCGAGTGATTTCGCAGAGCTCCACAACTCGGAGTACGTTGGGCTCATTTTTTTTTATTGAAAATCGTTTAACTACATCGCAGAACTTACGCGAACTATGACGAATATTGTAGCCTATCCATTTTTAGTAGCAAATTCATATAATGTATGAGGTGAAATAAAAAGACGTGAGATTCGAATATATCTTGTCGAGAATACTGAAATATTGAATCATTTTCATACTTCATTTGAGAATATGAATTAACTAATATTCAATTGTAATGTCGGCATCACTCATGTGGCAAGTTCTATTTTTTCGAATCTTGCGTCATTTGTTGTGCATATCTCGCCGTATTTTCAAGATGCGTTTCGCATGAATACATGCGCAGTCACACGCATCTAGTATTTTCGCGGTCGGCTTTCGCGATCGGTTTCTAGCAAAATTTTCCAGAAATTATTAATCGTTCAATTTCATCCGTATTATCAATTTTAATTGATCGCGGAATATAATTGAAATGTATACAACGCGAAGTAAAATTTCTAGATTTACGCTTGAATTTTACATTCAAAGATCGAGTCACGAATACTGTTGGAAACGAAAGTAAAATTATACTTTGATTAGTTTTGTGCATTAATTTTTTTTAAATTAAATTTCCTCTTTGAATAACTTCTCTCGTGATCGCGCACTTTTCGAAACGATCGTCGCTCGCATATAGTTCGAACCGTGCGAAATATCTGTCGGTGATAAACCGACTATGGAAGGAGTTTCTTTCCTTCCTGATCTCTGGTCAAAATGACCAGACTGTATGGCCAGGAGCAACGAAAGGTATGTCCAATCTGGCCCAACGAAGGGATACGCCGAGTTAGTGGTCAATATTGGCCACTCCGATGGAGTATGCAAAGTGATTTACATGATTTAATTTGTTTTATTTGTCAAAATTCGGGTGAGTTATAAATACTTCATATATTCTCGCATATGTGTGCAAGATTGAAAAGTCCCTATTAAATCCCAATTGCGCGCATATTATAACCCTGAATTGAACTTTTTTATATATATCTCGTGGCGGTTTTAATAAAAGACTTTTAGATCTGTTAAAAGTTGAAACACGGATAAGTAGAAAAATGGATAGGGCATACGTCGAAATATGGACAGGTAGGGATTCGGGTGGGCAGGGACAGGGGACATAACTCTTACACCGGAGTTTTATCAATTTTTTTCGTGTCACTTTCCTATTTCGAAAAATATACTATCAGTTTATGGATTAGACGAATAGTTAAATCTCTCGTTGATTAAGATACAGAGATAATAAATTGATTAACAATCTTTTTGGACGCGGTTGCATACATAAAGTGAAGTAAAACTTTAGAAATATTATTCGACAATTATTTAAAAAATTTATAAATGAACAGGCGCATATTTTACATTGCCAGAATTTCGAGTTATTATATACGCATACCGAATATTTCTCCATTATCCCACTTGACCCAAACGTGGACATTGGCTATGTAGTTTAAGTCCACGTTTTCAGTGTCCACAGAGGGCATATCGCGTTCGAAGATCAAAGTAGAACCGAGCCGTGGCAGCTCTCAGACTTTTCTCTCTGCTGTGAGGTCCAAACAAAATGCAGATAGCCAAATAATTTGAATCTAACATGTGAATTCATATACCATTTTCCACCTGTCCTCTGCGTAGTTACTTTTGGACATGCATATATGTGCAACACAGTTTCGTTCAGATGGAATCATTGTCGTCCGCAAATTCACGTGTCTTAAATCGATAAACAATTTCTAATTATTTAAAAAAACGTTATACTCAGCATTCAATTAAATCCCTCCCTCCCCGTACTGTAAAGAATTTTTACTACTTGAATGCACGTTAACTTTCCAGTAAATAAATATGTTAAAAAATGTGTGAGAAGGCAAGAAAAATTCTTGCACGCGTAGTTTTCTCAAGTGCTAAGAAACGACAGTGGCGATAAGAAAGAAAGAGAAAAATACATGCTAGTATGGGTAGAATATTTGCGAGTACTAGAGAAAGGATTGGCGTATTACCTAATCAAATTTATTTTTACTTAATATTTCATGGTACA